ACATCGACTACGTGTAGAGGAAAGGTGCACCATATCGCCGTCGCGACGCGGAGTGCCCGATAGAAAGCACTGTTCGAGTGTTCGATGTCGACGGACTAGCGCAAGTTGCCGCCGGAGAGCGACTCGTTCGCGCGCGCGTATACGTGTGTACACCACACATGCGTGCATGCGCGCGCACGTACGTGTGTGTGTGTGTGCGCGCGCGGCTCGTCTTTGCCAGCGTGAGTTAAGCGCGCTGTGTTCTCCCGGGCTGCCCGTGCTGGTGGGACCTTGTTTCATGACCCACATAAAGCAAGGCCGTTAACACTACTCACGACTCACGACTGTGCCGTGGTGGTGGGCCCCTGCGAGGTGCGCTCCGCTCTATGGAGGGCCCACGTGTGTACCTCTCCTACCAGGTGGCACGGCACCCACCGGACCCACGTACTCGAGATGGCCCCGAATTCGTACCGCTCGCGCGCGCGCGCGCATGCGCGGCAAGAGGCGGCTATTTCGACGGAGAGATGAGGGATTTGAGGAACGCGCTGCACTGCGCTGTGTGCGTCATTTTGAAATCGACACGATTTCATCGAGACGCGCCGGCCGCTTTTATTAATTTCGCGAAATGACGCGCGCTTTCTAGGACGCGCTTTTGCAAACAAAGAAGAACGTCGCGCGCGCGCGTGTTTGCCGGCGCGGCCATGTAGGAGGTGTACTTCGCCTAGTTTTGCTGCAATGTGACGACGCGAGGGAGAGAGAGATAGAGGGCGGGAGGGAGGGAGGGAGGGAGGGAGGGAGGGAGGGAGGGAGGGAGGGAGAGAGAGAAAGGTATGATTGATGAAAAGTTCAGCGTGACGTCTTGAATTTGAAATTTAGATGCGAGAGATACCAGAGAGAGAGAGAGAGAGAGAGAGAAAGAGAGAGAGAGAGAGAGAGAGAGAGAGAGAGAGACTCGCACTGTGAAAAGAGTTTGGTACCCGCGATTGTAATAAATTACGATCGCACAATGAGAGATTTATATAGTTGGGAGAATCGTCTTTGCAGCGTTACTGTACAGCCTCGGTAATGATAATCTTGCATTCATTCTGTCGCTGTGGCTTCCTTGCTGGGACGCCGAGAAGATACAACTGACGCCGGGGAACGACTACAATTTTACTTATGGTCGTTATTAATCATTTTTTCTGCTCGCAAAGCCGAGAGAGGCGAACCAAAAAGTTGACTAGTTGACTAGTTTTGCCTCTTTTACTTTTAGCTGGAGACGAGGCTCGCAAGAAAAGCGATCGCCTGTCTAATTTAACGCGATGGAGAAATATCGCAAAACGCGAGGCTCTCTCGAGCCTCCCGTACCTTCCTATCGCGAGGAAATCAGGCTCATATCAATAATTCCATCAAGGCGAGGCGCTGCTTGCAGCTGCTGCCTCGTCGCGTCTCCGCTGAATTCTCCCAGAAAGTTCGGAATTTAAGTCACCTAACAAGGAACAAACCGAAAGTCTCTCAGTTTCAAGTCAGAAGGAAAGCCGAGAAGAAAAACCAAAAGAATACACCTAGTATGATGTCTTAGCCAACGTGAAGACAACGAGTCCTCGGGGAAATTGGATAAATTTCGTTCGGATAAATCTTACTCGACGACAACTCCTCCCGCAACTTAACCAAACACCGCTCGATATGCAACTTGAATTGCACAATCCCCCCCCTCCCCCGTAGCGATCTCATAAAAATTCCACCGGCATCGCGCGTCGCGCGGCTGATCTTCGCGCTTTTTTACGAAATTCATCTCGATTCTATCCTCACGGCGGCGCGGAGGAGCTCGCGAGACCAAGAGACGCTCACGGGTCCTGCTCTTCTACGGGCTCTCCTTTCCTCTCTCTCTCTCTCTCTCTCTCTCTTCCTATACCCGCTTACGTGTGCGTACGTGCGTGCGTGCGTGTCCCGCCGCTCAGTAGGTCACCGGCGATACGCGTGTGCGTGGCACACAGAGCGAAGATATCGTGGCAGCGCGTACCAGCGCGCCGGCCGGGCCGGGCCAGGCCAGGCCCGGTCGGGCCCCGCGTTATCGTATTCACGCTGCGGAGGCTGGGTTCGGCGGTGACCAGCAGAGGCGCGCCTTGATCTTGATCTTGACTCCGTGGCGCAAGCTTCGACCTCGCGGCGGACGACCTCCCCGGCAGCGCGCGCGCCGGTGGTTACGCGCTCCTTCCGAGAGCGTATTTCGACCGGCTCTCCTTCCTCTCCTGCTTCTCTCCTTCTGCCCGTGCGCTTTTTTCCTCGCGTGGCTGCTGCTGCTGCTGCTGCTTTTCTTCCGCGGATCCAGCTTATACTTTCACACGTCTAATCGAGCTCACCTGCGAGGCGTCATTCGCGCCGATCCGAACGGCGCGGATCGCGCGCCGGCTTTTCTCGCGCGAGGAAGCAGCGACTGTTGCTTTCGAGAGATCTGCGGCGAGTCCTACGGCAGATGTTAATTAGCGAGTTATCAATTTTCAAAGTTGCAATTTGCTGCAGTAAAGCTGAAAAAAAATTTAGTGTCTCTGACAAAACTGTTTAGGCATCTTTTAATAGCGACCAAGTGATCTTGTTTTGTATAAGAAAATATTCAGTTGTCTCAACTGAATATATTTTTCTGCTTTGTTCTCTCTGGACCAGATGATTTTGTTCTTAGACTTCACATATAAAAATTAAGCATTTTTTAGTTATTTTGTTTATAAAAATTACATAACAACGAAATATTATTTTACATAAACTAAAATAATAATGCCCAATGGGTACTATGCGCATTTCGTCTTTCTGTGCACCCCAAAATTTAGATTTCATATATTAAGAAAAGATTATAGTATTTTTAACAAAATTCATATAGTTGAAGCTTTTTGGTTGCTGTAACAAAAGCTATTATTTAGTTATACGAACAAACCGTAATCAAACAAGATATTTGTTTACAGAAACTAAACAGTTTTGTCGGGCATATTTTAACCAAATTATCTTGTTTTGTTACAACAAAATTTTGGTTCACGCAACAGTACATTTTTCTAACCGTGATAAATATTTGCGGTTGCGCCTGTTTCTTCCCGTACGGCACGGCAGACACGAACAGTAGTTGTAGATCGCCACTTCTCGCATCGGTTGTCCTGTTGCTGTTTTGTGGCCTGATTCAAAATTACTACTCGCGCGATAATTGCAACTTTGCAGGCCCGTTGTCCCGCGCGCGCGCAGGTCGCTGTGAATGGAGGACACTCTTGACGAAAACGGCGAGGGAGTTTCGGCGAGCGCGATGACAGATGAATAATCACGGTCCCTCGTGAATTATTCAGACGAGTTTGTTTCGCACCGGGCAAAATCGTATCGCGAGCCGCGCGCGTGCTAGGGAAAAATCGATCAGGGTCGTCGACCATACGTTCTTGTTCGATCGTCCGACCTGGATTCGCCGTGGGGACTCCTGCCTTTAAGGAGACCTTAAAAACCGCAATTTACGTTTTCTGCCGGCGGCGCAGGCTATTATACGTAATTATCGGCTAAACTTCTTGGTCTTCTTAGTCACGACTTGGTCCGCCTCGGATGCAATTTTGTAGTGCGCCAACTGCGCGAGGGGCGACTTTACGCGAGCGGTCAGGAGCGACTCGAGAGAATATTTCAGAAGACGCTGCCCCCGCCGCGACCTCTCTCGGCTCCTTTTTTTCTTTTATATCATCTTTCCTCTCCTTCCTCCCTGCCTCTCGTACAACGATCTCGTCACAACCTCTCGAAGGTCGTAGAAAAAATCTGGCACGAAACGCATCGGGGGACTTTACACGTCAGCGAGGGCGAGGCAACGTCACCGATCGCTTCTCGCTCCTGCCGAGCGCTCGTCTCTCCGACGACGCACGCTGTGTGTTTGTTTACGGCAAACCTCGTCTCTCTCTCTCTCTCTCTCTCTCTCTCTCTCTCTCTCGCGCGCGCGCGGAGGTAACGTATGTAAACACCGAGTGTAATGTTCCGTCGACTCTCGCCGTGATAACGCGCGCCGCGGAATAAGTTATTGCGCAGCTGTGTTATTGTCAGGCGAACAGTTTATTTTTCACTATAGTACATTACACCGTATCTCGCAATCGAGTGATACAGAAGAGGAAAGGAGCTTATTCGCCTCGAGCGTTACGAATTCGCACATGACAGGGGCGGCCGAACGAGCGGCGAGCACATCGCTGCCTCGTCGCGCTCGAATAACATCACTTAACGCCGCATCGACGCGGCAAATTGCGATCGACGGGCTGAAAGAGACGGCCGTGAACGCTCGCGACACGTTCCGTGCTGGATTAATTTTACGCGATTCGTCGTTGCAGCACCATGCGCCAAATTTGATGACGCCAAATGACGCGAGAGCGCGGCCTCCGTTTTGCGGGCGTCATTTCGCGACGTATATATTTGCTTCCCGAGTCGAAATGTCAAGCGGCCCGAGCGGAAAGATTTTTCATCCACCGGTGGCACGGACCGGTGGAGCGTGTTCTTCAACAGCACACACGCGACGTGTTCTCATTTCCTTACAGAACGACGATTTCGGTTGCTCTTGGTCGCTCGCACTCAAATTCAAGTGAATTCGTGAATGCGGCAGAACGGAAAATCATATTGCGACTCCCCGTTATGAGAGCAACAGTGTCGAGCTTCAACGTCCCCACTTTGTGAGCGATTGCATTTGCGGACGCAGTCGCTCGGCTTTCGGTAACTGCACCGTCAGTTGCGTTAATTTTTAACAACACCCCCCCCCCCCTATCTTATCGCAAAAAGAAAATCTTGGAAAATTTCCGACTCACATTATTTATCCTTTATCGAGTAACATGTTCGCGTTCGACTGGCAAGACACGACGCATTGTCGATAACTGCTCCAGGCTCGGTCGATTCGGTAGTTTTCTACGTTCGCTTTCATACTCGAATCTCATTTGCGAGAGCACTCGACAGCAGCCGAGATGGAAGAAACGACCTGGAAGAAATCGTCTTTGCTAAATTATCATGCTCGTTACACCTCGATGAGAGGTACAAATGCGTCTAAACGCTAGTTACTTTTGTCTCGGCTTTATTACGATTACATCACACTGAAACGAATCTATCCGTCGATGTTTCCTTTAACAGTCAAAACAGCGATGCTTTTACATTCCACATCACTCTGCATATCACGTGCACATTATAAATTAAAGATTCGTTATTTTACTTGTATCTTCATATTCGCCCTGTGTGTGTGTGTGTGTGTGTGTTTGTGTGTTTATGCGTTATAATATGGATATATTTTCCTCGTCAACCTGTCACGTAACGTCAGTACCGGAACTAGATGTAGTTTTGCGCCTACGGCGATTGAATGGAGAATATCCTTCGGTATATCGTTGCTGAATAACAGGGCGATAACGTTGTATTTCTAGTTTATTCGAAAGAGAAAACTTAATTATTAGTAATTTTTACCACACCCCTTAGAATATCGCGCCTGGGCCTAGTTCCGATACTAAGTAGCGCCTTTTAAGCTCGGTGATGGCACCTTAGATTCACGTTTAGCACGGAAGCTCAGACCGGACCTGTCGAGAGCCGGCTGCTTGCACGAATCGTGTTTCAATTGTTGCTTCAACGTTATTCCAATTCCCTCGGCATGAGTACGATAGTACGCGCGAGATACATCATCCATCACCGAGATAACATTATAACGATATTTTATAACGTACTATGAATACACTAGGAGCGGAGAAGGAAAATGACTCCATGATGAATACGATGCTTGTAATCAGATACCTTTTTCGTCTGACAAACGAAACAGTTGATACAACAATTTGGTAAAACGATCAAGAAAGCGGACGTCAGGCACGTTTTCGCACGAACATTCATTCGCGCACTCTCGTTCCGTTTATTTTCATGAAACAACGTCGCAGGTGTCCTCGATTTCAGAGCCCGTGGGAACTCAATGACGATTAAAAATGTCTTCTCATTGGTTTCCGTTCGATCTTTAATACGATTAGCGAGCATTACGCAGTGTCCGATCGAAGAGATGCTTCAAACCATGACACCACGTTGAGCCAATAGTTGCTTCCTTTGATGGAGACTCGGAGATTCCACAGTAATCTCATCGTTCTTCACGTTGTCGAACGACTTGGAGGTCTTGAAATTATTCAAGACGTTCATGCAACTGTTGCTCGTCATCTCCAGAGACTTGGAATTCCTCAACGTCGCGGTAGCGAGCTTCTTGATAGTCTCCGAGATGGGATACTTGAAATCCGCACGCTCTCTCTCCCGCTCCTTTATTCTTTGATTGTCGTCGACAACCAACAAAGGATCTTTCTTCTCCACTTTCTGAGACTCTCGCTCCTCCGGTTTGTCTATTGCTTTCTTGGGATCTTCGAGCTTCAGCCTCTGGCTCTCGCCACCGTTAGCCTTCGCGTTTCTACACGTTGCCATCGAACCTGTCGATTGATCCTCGAACGACTCCAATCGTGAATGCTCGCTCTCTTCTTCCTCCTCCTTCCTCTCGTCCTGACCGAGCAAAGACTTTGGTGGCGCCTCGACGTAACCGCTCTCATCGCTGTCGGCCTCCTCGTCGAGGGAATCCAACGTGAGGAATGATGTCTCATCGTTTTGCAGAAACTCGCGCTCTATCCTACCGGGATACTTTTCGTTCGCTCGCCTCTCCGTGTTCGGCGGCTCTTCGATTCTGCTCAACATCTCACCCCTCGGCCGATAGTCCACCACGTCGTCCAGATCCTCGACGTCTTCAAAGTCGAACACGTTCGACGTGGTGTCCTCCAACTCCTCTTCCTCTTCTTCCATCGATTCCTCCTCCTCGCTTCTCAGGGGAAACCTCTTCCTAGAATTCACGGGATTGAAACGCGGACTGCCAGCGCAGGTCATGAAGTGAGGCGAGCCTTCCGAGTTCCTTCGCGGCCCCAGCCCTCTGCCGACTCTGTCGTCCGCGAAAATCACCCTCTTGATCGGTCCTTGTTGATCGCTTTGATCTGCAACAGATGGAATTAAAGGTGAACAAGTTTCGAGGCGAGGTGACACATATGCGGTCTATGTCACGCATCAATTGCTACGACTCGCCGAGCAACTGCCCTTTCGAAGTATAATCATGCAAAAACGTCGAAACTCTGACCGTTTTATATGCCTCCCACCCTTCCTCCCCGTTCGGCCCCTTTTTAAGAATGTCAGATAAAACTGCGCGTCGAAAATACGTAAGGACCTGATGAATGTATATTTCGTAAGAGACGGGGCTCGAGGGGTTTTATCAACGCGGCAAGGCATCGGACCTGGCTAATTGTTAATCTGTTTAGCGACGATGTTAAAGTAGCAGCCATAGTTCGCGGCGTGCAGAATGACGTGCAAAAACTTCGCGTGCTAAAGTCAAAGTAGATCGCACTCTTTCGCAGACTAATTATATCGAGCGGGTTGTATAAGTACACGTTACATACCGAGTCTATTGCATCTACATGACTTTCCCCTCGGTAATATTTCACAGAAAACAGAATTTGAAAGGATTTCGGTGCGACCGTTTGCGTTTCCGAGTGGCTAAACAGCAAGAGAAAGGGACCGCGACAAATCACGGGAATTAAGGTTCTCTAAAAATGTTCAGTCAGTGAAGGAGACAATCGATAAGAGTCGACGGCTGATTGAATCGACTGCGAATGTTGGCTTTTCCGTACGTGTATTTTCTTTTTCTTTTCTACACAGTTTAAAGTTAAAGAGGGTATATGCGGTTGAAACAAATTTTTTCGCTTTTGCAAATTTAGTTAAAGCAAATTTTGTTGTTGTGCGCTAAATTTTTTCTCTTACTTGATATTACTCGATCTTGTGAGAGAGCCTTGAGCGCCTATTTATATTTCATATTTCTTCAGAAGAAGATATTTTCGCTCGACGCGAAAGCGAAGCATTTTCAAAACATTCATACTAACTCTGCGTGAGGTGCTCCTCCGGGCCGGAAGCCCTCTCCTCGCTCGTCGCGGTGCTCGCGGTCTCGCATCCGCTCGAGATACTGCCATTCTCGTCGGAGGATTCGCGATTCAAGGCGTCCAGGAGCCTAGCTATTCTCCAGCCGTCTTGGTCCTCCCAGCTGCGCGCTACGTTCTCCAGCGAGCGCAGCTCCTCCAGCAGCCTCTGCTGCTCCATCTCTTCGGCCACCGTGTCTTCCTCGATTGCCGACAGCTTCGGCGCACTCTTCGACCTCTCCAACGGTGGCCGGTAGTTCTGGCCACCGGTGCTGAGAAGAAGCTTCCTACGCGGCAACGATGGATTGTCGTACAACGCGTTCGCCAGAGACAACCTGTAACGGTGCGTACAAACAGTTCGTTACATTTAAGAAGGTATACGTAGGTATTCAATTGTGGGCTTTGTAGTGAAGTCGCAAAATGGTTTGTGTCGTTTGCGAAAACTTGAAGAAACTCGACGGGGTATAGTTGCTATCATTCCACACGCGTCTCTTCTGAGCAACTCACTTCCTTTCTCGCAATTGTACGAGACACTCTGCTTATTTATATCAAGTTGAAATCCAACAGCACACAATTACCTCTTGGAATTACCTTCAACCACGCTTTTCCGCGTTTTCAGAAAACTCTTTTCTACTCGTTTCAATGTTCGTCTCGGCCCGACTCTAACTTTCCACAGTTGTGGGTTAGCTCTCCTCTACTTATCTCTGCCCACCAGCCATCTGATAATGGTTTCCTGGATTTTTCCAGCAAAACAGGAAACTCGTAAGTGAAAGATGACGCGGTCTCAATCCGGTGGATTTATCGTAATTCCAGCAGGAGCACCGCCAGCGAGTTTCTGACCTGTGGCTTGGAAACACTGACCCGAATGCACGTCGCACGACGGCCGGCTCGTCCTGAATCGTGACTCGATCGCGCGCGCGCGCGCGCGCGCATAACGCGATCTACAATCGCGACCAGAGTCGTGCCAGACTTCATGCTGAATGCAGGACCGCGTGCGTAACCGCGCACGCGGTCAGGTGTCTCTCGGCAAGAACACGCGAAGATGGACAATTTCTCTTTTCCCCCGGAATCCGACTCCTCGGAACTGTCCTCGCGGAGGACACTCCCAGCGTTAAAACGACATAATCGGGGCACGACAAAAATCGCGAGGAATTCGCGACGGTGCGCGTCTGCTGGCAGACATCGAAGAGCAAGAGAGCCTTCAACGGATTCACTTCACTTTACGTTTGAGAAATCGTGCCGCGCCATCAATCGTCGCCGGTTCACGATTATCATTAGATAATCATTAGAGCGTTTGGAGCAGACTAATACGCCACGAAGAGATTCGACGCGCGAGCCGGGAAGCAATTCGGGAAATACGCGGAACGTATGGAAACGTATGGAACGGATTCCGCTCCTGAGCTTTAACAGACGTCGAAGCGCAGCTTTGTGGAAAGACGATAGACTTGAAACGGACACTCTTCCAAGCGTCATTGAGGACTTTGTGATATCTAGTTAACGCTTAACCGGCTTGTCCAATCGCATCTGTCGCCAATGTTGAGTATTGCTAAATGTGATTGATGAATTCCAGCTGGTTAGATTAAGCGCAGTCGGCAGAAACGGGCATGAGTCTTTCAAAATACAAAAGGGAAGATGTAAACAGGACACAAACAGACAAAGTGCGGAACTCTCCTTTTCTGCCGAGCATCAGGTTGACGTCGCTAATGATACGTCGTCGCTGTCGTCACTTTCTAAAAGTCGCTGAGCGGCCGTCAACTTCTCAGGCAACACCTGCTAGTCAGTCTCAGCTAACAGCTCAATTCTATAAAACACGTCCAGGGTGGCTTTCCCTACCTGCACTCATCCGTCACTAGCGAAGGATTCTTAATGATTTTGAACATCCCTCTGCGAGGCTTGATACAAATAAGCGTTCGGTCGAAAGGAAGCGAGGTGTTTCTACAACACGCTCGCATTCTCCGCGATTAACTCCGCGACAAGTGCTCGCCATCTCCGTTGTGGGCTGTTCTCACCGCCCACAATGTGATTTGTAAACGCTACATTGTGGTCCTCACCTGGCGTTTTGCCGCGAGACCTTGTCCCGGCGAAATTCCAAGAGCGCCTGCTGCAACCGAGTGTTCAGGATCGAGGCGAGCCTCCTCGCGGTGGACTCCTTGCTGCACAGAGCGGCGTGGCACCTGAGCTCGGGCCTGAGCCTGCGACCCTCGTGCCTGTAAACCCAGACGAAGAGGCGCGGATGGGAGGCCGGGGCCGTGCAGTAAGTCACACGGTGGGCCCAGTACTCGGTGAGGCCGTGGTCCTTCGTGGTTGCGGTGAGACCGCCGCTGGTGACCGTCAGCCTCATGGAGACGTCAGGCCTGCTGCTGCTCACATAGTTCCGCCACAGGGTCGACACGGGCTTCTCGACGCAGCCTTCACCTGCGGGGACAATACACGAAGAGCGTCAACTTCTCTACTTCTACCTGATCCAGTTCTACCTGAAGCTCACTTGGAGCCATCGCGCGCAGACTTCTGGGACTGTGTATCTCAATTCTATGAGAACGTTAACGGGCTCAGAGGAAGACGTGGGTCTAAAGTTTTATCTTTCCCTCAGGCTGCTAATGGGATAAAAATAGACAGATGGGGATAAGTGATCGATAACAAGTAGCAAACAGATAGAGAGTAACTTGGGGATTTGAGAATGTTCAGTAAGGAAGTTGTAATTTGTTACAATGAACTGATAACGGTAGAGCATACATTCAAGATAGGAACTGCGTGCGGTCCAAAGTCTCTCGATGTGTTTCATTGATAATCGAGGAAAAACTCGAGAACGACTCGGGACCTGCGGAAACGGAGAAAGATATCGCGAAGACTCCGACGGCGAAGGAATGATAAGGTATAAAAGTGGTTGCTGCATGGATGTTGGGCGTGATGATTGGTCATTCTTCGCAAATATAACGACGCAATAAATGTACATGTACAATAAGAAATATATATATATATATTATATAGACAAAAAATCCACTTGTAATTTCACCGAACGTCCATCGCGGAAGTGAAAATTGAGCAAACTGTTGCAGCAGAAATGTAAGAAAAAAAAAAAAAAAAAAAATCAGTCATAATTAAAAAGAAGTACTCTCTTCTTAATCCCGTTTCACGACGCACGCGAAGGCGCGCTACCGCGCGCCGCCTCCTCGAATGGGGGGGGGGAATAACGTCCGCTCGGACGTCGGAAGCATAAATTCACGCAAAAAGATCGCACCGAAAGCCGACGAATGTTTTTTTTTTTCTTTTAGTAGTTTCTGCGCGAGAAAGACGGGGGAATCCGTCCGCACCGTCGCGCTCGCGGAACGGTCGCGGTCACGTGTTATATAATTTAACGTTATCAGCGCACGAACACAATCCGGACGCCTCGGAATGCTACCTCTCGCGTTGTATTCACCTCGGAAAAAAAAAAAAAAAAAGAGCAGGCCCGTTTTAGCAAAGTGTGTCACTTTAGGACGAACCTGCTGTCCCCCCCCCTCCCCCCCCCGCGCGCGCGCGGCATCTTCAGTGCGCGCGATTGAGCGTACGGTACGATTACGCGCGTGCGAGACGTGTCGGCACGTGTACGGATGAGATACTACCACGTACCGCGCGTATACTCCGAGGCATATCCTGACTTTCGATATAGTTCGATCCACCGCTGCACCGCTACGGCTTGGATCGCGTTACCAATTTAGAGATACAGGAAACGCAAGTACAGTTACTTAGAGCTCGAAAGCAAGCCGAGCCGCCGGGCGAAATGGAGGGGGAGGGACAAAGAGGGAAAACGCACGGAACAAGAAAAGCAAAGATAGACAGAGTGGGAGAGGGGGGGGGGGAGAGGAATGAGAGAAAGGTGCAGGTCGATGAAGAAGAAAGAAAAAGAAGAGAGAGAGAGAGAGAGAGAGAGAGAAGGCGACGCGGGACAGGTTTGCGAGCATCCAAGTCTCCCGGCTTGATCCGCTACTTATGGGGAGGAGGGCGGGGGGGGGGGGGAGAAATACGAAAAAGGCAAAAGAGAAACAAGAAAAGACATGATCTCTCGGTCGGACCTCGGAAAGTAGTTTCTACGAAAGAACGGCGCGGCGCGTCGCGTATGATCATCTATCGGTGTTAGATATATAGTCGACTCGGTCCGATTTGCATTCTAATTAGCGACAACAACAGTAAATTAGAATCCAGTCTAACTGGATAAATGTTGTTTTGAAACGCGCAGCGCGTCTTTTCCCCCTCCCTGCCTCCCTGCCCCTCTGTCTTTCTTTTTCTCCGTTTCTGTCCCTGCGCTCGTCTCGCCCTGGAGAACCTCATCCTTGACGATCTCTCGGCGGGTCTCGAACAAAGCTCCGCCGTAACGGCAAGTAATGCGAGCCGGTTAATTGCCGGCGAATAAATTTGTAATCTATTTAAAACAGTGCGGAACGTTCGCCGGGCAAGTACTCGATCCGAACTGCGTCACGCGGCGCGGACCGCCGTGTCAAGATCGATAATTAGCGGAATTGCGGGTGAAGCGGGTGAAATGGCCACGGCTTTCCGGAGCGTCCTCGTTCGTACTTTTATGCGTCGATCGTTATGCAAATGACGCGTTCTGCGCGATCCTTCGGTATATCGGCCGCGACTGCATCTTACGAAGACGACGGCGGCGACGGCGGATCACTTTTGCGGAAGCACGGACGGACGAGAAATGCGGCGAGAGGAATATTGATATGTATAAGCGCGATTCTTGGAAACAAGATCTCTTTCAGACACACTTGTCAGATTCGATGATGGCTGAAGAAGCGTAATTGAAGGAGAGTATGGCACACTCACACATCTGTGTGTGTGGATTCGAGTGGCCGAGAAACGTCATCTCATCGCGGATTATTAATGTCTTCATCGTCGTCGTCGTAAAGATCTATCTAACGTAAATATGATAGAAAAGAATCGACTGATTATATATGCATATACAGGGTGTCCGGGATCTTTCGGGAACGAAAAACTGTGAGGATCAATCGGATGGAACTGAGAAGAAAAGTCAAGTACCACTTTGTAATCGTAGAAATCGTAATAGTTATTAAGCTACTAATGACTACATCTAGAGGCTATTTTAATTTATAACTCTGCGTACACGCATAAATATGCAAAATGGCAAAGGATTCCTTCGTTCAGAACGACAAGTTCGAGATTCAGGAGTTCAAAGTTCAATATACATTCATATCTATCGCTAAACATTGGCTGTCATACAACTGTACGATTAGGTCATTCTGAAAAAAAGTCCTTTACTGATCTTGCAGATAATCGCACGCAGTTATCAATTAAAAGAGTCTCCTGATGTGGTCGTTATCAATCATTAATAACTTGCGATATAATTATTACGATTTTTGCAAAATGGCGCTTGACTTCTCTTCTCAGTTTGGTCCGATCAATCTTCGCAAGTTTTCGTTTCGAAAAGATCCCGGACCCGCCCCGTATATATGCATATATACATACAAAACACACTTGTCGGCACTTGATGATCGATAACGGCGGATTCCCGCTGTAACAAGGGCACCTCGTACGACGATTAAGTAGATGAGTAAACAATGTTCGGGGCCTGCCGCGCGAGACTGGTTGGCACAGGTAAAGAAACGACTTATGGAACTGAAGAAGCGCGAGAGTGTTTACCGAGAGCCACGTGCTCTTCCACGAAACAAGCTCTGGAGGCGCGCAAGCTAAGAGCCGTATTAATTTTAGCAACATTTAAATGAACGAGTCGTTGACTTCGCGAGAGGCGAAGAGAGGCGGAGGGGGAGGAGAGAGGCAGTCGGTCATCGATCGAGGATCGCCGAGTGCGCGATCCCGAAGAACCGATCTCGAGTCCGTTACTTCGCGGAAGATACGACGACCCGTAGGTGTTCTTAATCGTTTCTCTCTCTCTCTCTCTCTCTCTCGGTTTCGTCCTTACGTGCGTTCACGCGAGATCCGCGTTCGCGCCAGTCACGCTAGCGCGCTGAGATAATTGCGAATTTCGTTTTCATCTTCGGCGCGAGACTGCAATGATACGTCGCGAGAGGTCTCTCTCGCGTTCGCGCGCCGTTAAATTGCGTCACCGGGGCGGTTTTCCCAGCGTCGACGATCGTGGCAGTGCATGAACAGACAAAGATACCGCGCGTTTTTATCCTCGAGTTTCACACGCGGAGAGAAAGCACGAGGCGCGACGACGATACGCCTCCGTCGATCGAGATCCGCGGCGCAATCGAGCTGTGACCGGAGTCTGCTCGGGCAAAAAGGATACGCGCGCGTGCGCGCGCGCGCGATAATGCGAATGCGAATGATCGGATCGACGGAGAGCGGTTCCGGTATGCCGGTCTAATTTGCGTACAGGAAAGACCTCGTCTGCATTCACCGGGAGAACATTTTATTCCGAGCGTGTCCGGAGAAAGCGCGGGGAGAGATTCGATAAAAGCGATCCTCCGCTCGTTGCAGGTGAAACGACGGCGGCGGCGGCGCGGCGTCCATTGGCGTGTGCGGCCGCGTTTTTAGCCGCGATTATTCGCCGCGAGATGCAAAATCCTTCGCCGGCGGAATTTCGAAGGTCCCTCTCGCTCGCGGGGCGAGATGAGCCTCAATATTCCTTCTCCGACCGGACTTAAGGGGACTGAACGGTCAGATTGCTGAAAAATTGTGTTTGATAGTGATTTTGTGACTGAGCTTCGTATCGATTTGAAATTTTAAAGCAATAATATTTGTTCATGTGGCTCTCAGATGAAACATGAACAACTCTGTCAAAATATTTCATTTCGAGATATTAATTTTTTTATTGTAAAAGAAGTGAAAAATTTGAATTTTTTCCTAATAATAGCTGCCATTTTGTTAATTTTGTTTGATTTTTTTTTGTAGTGGTTCACCGGGTAATGATAAGCCTCCTCAAGATTTCTAGATTTCTAAAAATCGCTCTGATCGGACCACCGAGAGCCGAGATATTACTGCGAAAACGATAACTTGAAAAAAAAAAGGAGAGTATATTTCAGCTATATATATCGTATATTTATACGAATATCTGTTAATAAACAAAATTTTTCTACTCTTCATATGTTGTACAACTGTACCTAAAATTTTCATTCTTGCACATTTATTCAGTTCGTCGCAAAATATTCACAAAAACAAGCACGATTTTTCAGCAATCTGACCCTCCAGTCCTCTTAATCTCGCGCTCGCCTCGTCCCGCAACTTTCCGCGACGCTGTCCTTCTATCGTTGTCCTTTGTCGGTACGCGCGGCTTTTCTGCATACACCTTCCATCTCTTTTATATTATATGATATATTTTGTACCGACGACGATGCGCGGTGATAACGACAACCTCGTTAAAAGTTCGAAGCGGAGCAGGAGGAGACTCGCGGAGCAGAGCTGAGTACAATCGCGGTATCGATATCAAATTCAAACAAAAATCGATCGCGAAA